TTCTGGAGAGAAACCCTATGAATGTAAACAATGTGGTAAAGCCTTTGCACAACAGGTTCACCTTCAAGTTCATGGAAGAATCCATACTGGAGAGAAACCCTATGAATGTAATCAATGTGGTAGAGCCTTTGCATATAGCAGTAGTCTTAAAAAACATGAAATAGTTCATACTGGAGAGAAACCCTATGAATGTAACCAATGTGGTAAAGCCTTTGCACATTCCAGATATCTTCGAAAACATGAAAGAACACATACTGGAGAGAAGCCCTATAAATCTAATCGGTTTGCACATAGCAATAGTCTTCAACATCATGAAAGAATTCATGCTGAAGAGAAACCCTATGAATGTAGTCAATATAGAAAACTTTTTTCATGTCACAGTAGTCTTCAGATTCATACTGCAGAAAAACACTAATATAGTTAATGTGGTAAAGCCTGTTATGTCACAGTAGTCTTCAGATTCTTGAAGGAATTCATATTGGAGAGAAATCCTATGGTATAATCAATGTGGTAAAGCATTGCATATCACAATCATCTGAAAATACATAAAAGAACACACTGAAGGGAAATGATACAAATGAAATCAATGTAGCCTTTGGACATCCCAGTTATCTTCAAATACAAAGGAACACATACTGGAAAGGTTGCAAACTTTACTGGAGAGTAACTTTTTGAATGTAATCAGCCTGTTAAAGCCTTTGCATATCACAGTTGTCTTTGAGAGCATGAAAGTACTCAGACTGAAGTGAATCTATGAATATAAAGTATTTTGTAAGATCTTTCAGCTACACACTTAAATTCAAGTTACACAAGAGTTATTGTGGACTAAAAAAAAAATCTGACAATTGTCAATAATCTCGTCAAGCCTTTGACTTCATGCTAAATGCTAAAGAAAGAAACTGAATGTAGAGTCAACAAGAAATACTAACATTTCTGAAGGAAAGAATTGTTAGCAGGGAGACATGTCTTCTCTTGGCAGCGCTCCTTTTCCACTTCAAAGAATATGATGTGCATTGAAAAACCTCCATATGGCTTAGGGAAGCAGGCAGAGGATTAGAAGCACCCAGCCATTGAGCTAGATGGCCTATTAAAAATAAGGTAATGCGTATGTGTCTTTCATTCAAGGATCCAAAGATCCCCTGGGCAGAGACTTGCCTGGAGCAAAAAGCTGAGTAGTCCAAACTCAAGGTACAATTGTGTTAGAATTTTGGTGGAAATTGCATTTAGTTGGTAGATTGGGTCAAAGAAATAATAAAGAAAAAATTAAGGACTTTCTGGAATTCAACGAAAATGAAGGCACAAAATACCCAAACTTAGTGTTGTTGGGTTCTTTGGAGCTAGTCCAGTCGTCGTCTTGGGATATCTCCAACTTCTTTTCATCTCTTTATCTATGATCACTTGACAAACTGTAACAACAGCAACCAGGCACATATGCCTACAATACTAGCTAGCTATCAAGGGAAGCAGGCTTTAAAGTGTTTAGACATGGAAAGCTCATGGGACTTTGCCTCAGCCTAGAGGCAATCTTTGGAAAGCACAAATACAGACAGGACCAAAGTAATCCATTGTTAAGTTTTAGAGCTGGTGTTGCCGCTCAGATACATGGCATCTGGAGGCTGGAGAGGAGAGTCTGCCAAGTTTCAATGTGCCGGCCCATCATCATACTCCACAAGGAATCTCCTACCTTGCTTTTTCTGTAAGATACACTGGACTCCTTTGGTCCAGTTCACTGTCCACTCCTGTGATGCCCCAGCAGGCCCTCCATACCCATGCTTTTGTTTTCCTCTTCTAGTTGATGTGACATAAACGTGTTTGCAAAAAGAGCATTCTAATGTCATTTCTTTCTCCATTATATTATGTTTTGTGTTTTCCGTGTTCGGTATTCTCTGGCATACAAGTACTTATCAAAGGATGCATGTAGTAAATTATACTATGCCTTCTCTAACCCAGGAAGCCTGACTTATAGAAAGCTTTGTAATATTTATTGTTGTTAAATATTCTAAGCATAAAGTATGTTTTGTTTGAACAATGCCTTTATGTAGCTGACAATTTCACTCTTATTGTCTAATCATAACTTTGACTTAAATTTCTTTAGCACAGATTGGTTTCTAAAATGGCAAAATGAACACAACTTTAACAAAACTAGCTTGCCTCGTCATTTGATTTGCAGAGCTTTTATTATATCTTGGTGAGAAAGAACTGGGAACAGTGTTACGAGTCTAGCTTGAAATTTTGGTCTGTGGTCAGGAATCAAAGGAAATAGAAATTTCCAACAGCTATAAAACCTCAAGCACTCTACAGTAAACCATTTCCTCCAAGGAGACTCCATTTCCTAAAGGTACTACAAACTGCAAAACATCGTCAGCAGCTTGTGATCCAATATTCAACGCCTAAAATTCAGGAAGATATTTCAAATTCAAAACGTAACAGTTAGTTACAGAATTCAATATATGTGAACATGGTTTTATAATAGATTAGATTATCCAAAACTTCATGTTCCCATGTCTCAGGAAGTTTTCTTTTTCATCAGCAATAACAGAGCAAAGAATGCTATGAATGTGGGTATTAAAAATATATTATTTGAAGCATCACATACGTGTGTTATATCAAAGTGAGAAAATCTCTATTATTGACTTTAGATAGGACTTCATAACAATGTTAGTCTAGCTATGCATTCCACGTGTGAACTTTAAGGTAGTTGGTAGTGGGAGCTGTGATTTGCTTATATTGTATATGGCCCTCAGGAAGAAATTACACACACAGTCAGAGCTGAGTTCATCACTCTCGTCTGTTCTCTTCCCTGTTCATTTGTAAATGGACAGGTTTTGAGGCTGTGCCCAGAAGCTCTACAGTAGTCACACTTGAAT